GCACATGGTAGGTAGTATGTTTTTCACATGGAAAAAAATTATTACTATGGTGGGTATTAGCTTTCACATTAAATGGAATGTTGCCATATACAAGGTGCTTGAGCAAGTTCTAAATATACCAAGAAAAGCAAAACAAATGCTTTAGAGAGAAAGTTCATATTAGAGCATTTATAAAATGAAAGAGTTAGAGAAATTAATAGTAAAATTATTTTCTCAAAGATATAATTTTAAAAATACTTCATATATTTTTAGTGGATTTTTGAGAGCTCTTATCAATGGTTTTTTTTCTATTTGGATTTTTCATATAAAATCTTATGTGCCACAATTATTTGTGTTTTTTTGTATGTACTCTTGATTCTTGACAAGTGAAATTAAAGATAAAGTTAATTTATATTATTGGTGTCTAGGAAAGTGGTTGAAAAGATGTGCACTTTAAGTTAAGTGATTATTTAATTAGTCACTATTATAGTATTATAGTAGCATACAGAGAATCCCACTTATCTTACACTTACCTAACCAACTAATGTGGTTAACAATGCCATAAATTTCTAAGAAGGACCAAGCATATCAAAATTATCTATCACTTCATCCGAGAAAAATTAGTTAGGATAAATTGAGATAATATTCGTCAATTAATAATTAGCTTGTAAATATTTTCATCAAATTTTGAGTATATTATATATGTAGCAAGCTTCAGGCATATGATATATGGGTAATACTTTTTTTTATATTATATAGAAAAATATTATTTTTTGCACAAATAATAAATAGGAGATGAAAAATAGTTGGAGATGAAAGAAAATAATTTTTATGGGACCTATTTAAAAATATAAGAGTAGGAGATAATTTTTTTCTTATATAATATAAGAAAAATATTATCCATAATATATATATACACCAATATAAGGGGAAGTGTTAAAATATTAGAATGTATATATATTTTTAGTTATTGTTTTTACTAGTCCCATATCTTGTAATATACTCTATTTAAATATAAACATTGTATTATCACATTAAACACAGAGTTCATCAACTTCAAGTAAAGCTTTATGAGTTTTTGTTATACAGAGGCCACGTAGAATGAAAAGACAAAAAATGTGTAGGAAAAATCTAATTGTCATAATCATGAGCTTTTAACTACTGGTTCCCCTTTAAACGGAATAATCGTATACACATTTTCTATCAACTCTTTCTTTACAAAGACATACATATCTAGAAATTGATTAAGATAATCCAATTGGTTCTTCAACGAGATCAAGAACCTGACGACGTTGATTGTCGGCATGATGCATGATTGGACAGTAAACTCGAGCTAGTAGTTTCTATCCTTTTTTATTTCAGTGCCGATATACAAAAATTTTATATTAGAAAATCAGGGAAGGATATTGTAACAATCCAGTTATGTTACTATTAATGTTACTACCAATCAATCTCACTGTTAGATCGATTATATTGATTTAACGGTTATATTTATTTTCATCTTTGTATGGTCATGATTTCTCAAATTTAATATTTTATATTTATTTTCACCTTTGTATGGTTATGATTTCACATATTTAATGCTTTCACTTCAAATATGGGGAATCAACCATACATAAATGGAAATAAATATAACTGTTGGATAAACATAATCCATCTAACCGTGAGATTGATTGGTAGTAACATAACTTGGTTGTTACAATATCATTCCTCTAGAAAATTATACTTTCATATCACATGAAATTTATTTTTTATGTTATATTTATGGAAAAATATTTTTTTATGTTGCATGAGAATTGAATTCTTATGTTGTGATTCTTTGATTTGCATGCAAAACTTTTTTTTTAATAAATGTGGGGCCTACCACTAGTTGAGTCAGAACATGAGAATATTCTCATGCAACATGAAAAAAATCAAACCCCTATATTTATATAAAAAAATTTGTTTCTTTTTTTTTCTTTTTAAATTGATGATTCCCACTTTATATATTTGTATAATATAAAATAATTTTTTTTCTATTATATGAGAAAAATAAAATCTTTTACATATATTTTCACTGGCCCACTTTTTTTGACAAATCAATATTCCACAATTTATGAGTGAGGTCCGTAATGTATTCTTGCTTTTCCTTGCGAGTATACTTTGTTTCTTTCTTTTTTTCTTCTTAGGAGAATTGTATTGAGGTTTTGATCTCCCCATGAAAATGTAATAATTCAATCAATAGTGTAAATAATATTATTTATATAATATTTGACGAGACTCTAAATTATGAATAATTCAAATCTATAACTTGCTAAGACTATATCAATATTTGAGTTTGACCAAAATAAATGACATTTCGGAATTCGGTGATTTTGAGAGAATAAATATGGGGAAAAAATGAATATCCAATGTTTTATTGTTTGAAATACTAATGAAAATTGGAAGAATAATTTTTTTAAAAAAAACTATTTAATGCAACCGCAGAAACCCATTTCCAACTAAGTTTAATTGTTTAGAGCCTGTATAGTTTAAAAAAAAATCTAAAATTTTATTTTCTGTTTTAACTAATAAAAGACCCTTGTTATAGCCAAGATACATGGATATTCAGCTTCAAAGTGCATGTAGATTGACCAGTGGTTCCCAAACAGATTGAATGCGTGAATCAGGAGATAATTCAATACATAAATAGCTTCAAACTCGTTGTTCCTTAATTACGCCGAAATGGGACCTACGTGGAAGTTGATAAGTGTGGATAGGTCGTCTTCGTTTCCAGCTATTATTGGCTTGAGATTTGAAAGTTGAAACCTAAAACTTGCCGGGCAAAACGGAATTTGCTTTATTTCTCTATGGAATTATGGAACCGAAATCATTCATTGACTTCATCTTTAGCTTCTGTCCTACTCACTTTGAATTTGGATATGTTATGATATTGCATTTGGAGTCTTTTCTTGAAAATAGTTTAGGATTGTTGAGGAAGATTCTTCTGCGTGTTTATTGGGCAAAACGTGGTAGTGTACCCAACAAGGATTCCAAATCTCAAATCAGTAATTAACGACTAGTGTCTTTTATATTTATAGAATGAGGTGTTATTAGAGATAGTGACTGATATTAAATCACTAAGAGCTTTGAACCTATGCATAGAACAAATCAGATAATAATGATCAGAAATATCATACACAATGCGATTAAGAAGAATTAGAACAGACTTACTTGGTGTCAGTATAATGGAACAGACAGATGAATGCAAGCAGTATGAAGAATTAAATCCGAGCCCACAGAACGTGTCTCCTTAAGACAATTTGCCCCTGCCAAAGGTTGCTGGACACTTGTCTCCCAGGATAGAACGGATTTCGTCTGAAGAGTGGTGACACTATCAGTCAACAGCCCAAACGAACACAACAATTGCCAGAGGAATTACACCGGAAAAATAGAATGAAGTATGCATAACCGGATGAAGGAAAAAATCCGGCAGAGTAACAGTGCAGAAAATTGAATAATATTTTCTGAAGGGGTCAGGGTCTATATATAGAAAACGTAAGGTCACGTTTCAAAAGGCACCTATTCGACGACGAAACAACACATCCGTTGAACACGAAAAGACACATTCGTTCAACACGAAAAGACACTCATTCAAGGATGAAACAACATGTCCGTTAGAATGAAACAACACATCCTTTAGAATGAAAAGATATATCTGTTTGTCGATAAAAAAACACGTATTTTCACTACCAAACTTCTTATTATAACTTATGGGATTTAGACCCAAAATCCAACATGAGGAGGAGCTACTTTGGTGCTTCCATGCTTGTGTGATGTGACCAAGCAGCTATGCAACCAAAGCAAATGATCAAGGTGAAGCACTTTTAACAAGAAATTGAGAATTTATGATGAAAATAATACATTTAAGATCATATGTTAGGTTGTTATTTTCTTACTACACTACCACATTCTAACTCAATGTTAGTATTATTTACAATACTTCTGATTATGCATAGTCTACCATGGTTTAATATTATAGATATTATTAAATGGAGATATGTCATGGGTAAGGATTCAAATATTTTTCGAGGAATATTCAGATACTTCACTGAAACAGGAGGTATTCGACTCCTTTGTGTATGGTATTCGGATAATCAGAACAAGAAAATAGGTGAAGAATAAAAAAGAAACATAGGATAATCATAGTTCCAATGAAACTATAAATGAAGGCTAATTTAGTTTGGACATATTCTAGAAGCTAAGAGCTGGGCAAAATAACATAAAGTTTCATGAGTCTAATCACCTAAAATTAAATTGGAATAAAAGATGAACATAAGTTGAAATTCCTTCCTTCTAATTAATTGAAAAAATAGGTATCACAAAATTGAATATTATATTCCATTTCTTAACAGCAATCGCCTATGAATTAGTTTGATTCGGATTTGTTTCGTGATTTTTCATGGTGAAACGATCTCTTAGAACTTAGAAGTTATGCTTTTATTTATTTATTTTTAATTTTTTTATAGGTGACGTGTATGATATGTTATTAACCTTGCGAATGCTAATAGATGATAATTCCTTTAAGTTGCTCTCTATGAATCTAATAACAGACCACCTAGACATTGATAAAATTATTACCACTATGCTTGAAAACATAAGCTATAATGTAATGAGAGGCATTGCACTTTATTAATATTATCTCTTTGATCATATTATTTTTTAAAAAAATTGTGGCGATGTAAAAATTTTAGTTTATCATATAAGAAATATTTCTTTTACCAGTCCTTACTCATCAGTTCCCCTGAAATTATATTTCCATTCGAAGAATATATATATATGGACAAAACAACAACCGGGTGTGCAATTCAGATATCTACTTCAGTAACGGAAAATATCAAATATAATTTATATAATCATTTGAAGTGGTACGTAAAGATATTTTTACAGGTTTATGATGTAATAATCTTTATTATTTCTTACGTAATTAATCAAGCGACTTCTTATGGTTATAACAAGCTTAAACAAAAAATCTTCAACATTGATCATCTTCAATGCTACCGAAAAACAAAATGATTAATCACGTCCACAAGCTCAAGTTCAGAATACATGGTGCAGGGGAGTACGGAGAAGAAATCTTTGCATAAACCCCCCCAATACAACAGATGAAATATTAAAGAATCCATAAAATAAAATGGGTGTTTGAAGAGAAACATACATTATTACATTTCACAAGGAACTTGTTTGCTACATGGCGATTGGCGAGTCAGTCACATATTGACATGGTGAGGTGAGGAAGCCAAACCCAACAACCAACATTGTCCACCATCAAGATCCATCCTCTATCTGGGACTCTCCTTCCAGGTAAGGCTTTAGTTTTCCCTTGACAAAAGCATTGTTACCAATCCAGGCCAACCACACTAGAGTTAGACATTTACTATAAACATGGAAGGGAGAAGCTATTGGCATGGGGAAACAAGAGAGATTTAGAAGGCATATGCTGACTGAAGTGATGGATCAACTGCAGCAATCCAGAACCCAAGCATGGTACCCCTGTTAAATTATTAACTAGAATACACTATGCCTGGAGCTTAACCTCATGTTCCTGCCAAATGGGCATATTGTAGCCCTATCTGCCGCTTCACATGCTCAGGTATCAACTTATTAACAAGCTCTGGAGATGCTCCAGATAACTGTAAACAGGAAATATAAACATGTAAAACAAGGAACTTAATAACTACTACAGCATGGGTATATATTCATAATGAAGTTGTACATCAATTTTGTTTAGGTAGGATGTTTGATCTTGAACCTTGTTCATAAAAATGTATCCCAGTTCATTTAGATTTTTCTAGCCTTCATTGCATTGCTAAGAAGTTGACACTGGCACACTCACCTCTTGTTTAAAGTTGAATAGAGGTGGAAATGGACGACCATTTGGCAAGCAAGCATTGGGTGCACGGAGTTCATCAAAGAATGGGTGTGCACATGCTTCTAGCTGCATAACAAGAATAAATCCACCTCAAACTACTATGCGATATATCATCCAGTAATTGATCAGATTCATAATAGAGACTGGTGTATATTGAGAAAGACTAACTGATTTGCATACAGAGAAATAAATCACAATTGCAGCAATCACACTAACCGCAGTACAACGAAGACTTGGGGAGTACTGCAGCAACCGGGAAGCAAGATCAATTGCTTCTGGAGGCATTTTTTTGTGGAATATCTACACTCAAAATTTGTAATGTTTAGAATGTCCAGGATTCTTTTCTATATACACAACTTTGATAACCTGAAAAACCATGCGGCAGAAGAGAGCTAAAAATGCAAACCTTGTGCCATGGGTGTGCTTTGATCTGTGGAAACCTGAAGTCATTGTAGCTTGGATTCATACACCGGACTTCCTCCCGTGTGGGTGTTCCAAGAACCTGCAATACAGAAGTTTATAGAGCTGACTTCTTATGACAAGAATTGTACCATCTTAGAAACCTAATATGTCATAACACCAATTGCACCTTGATTATCTCTACAAGCTGGTCCACTGCATTTTCACCAGGAAATAATGGCTACAAAAGTTCCATTGTGTGTGTCAGATGACACGTAGGCAGTAGATAATTTTTAATTAAAAGACTATTTGCATCATTTTTCTGTTATGTATGTAATGACAATTAAAAAAACAAAAGCAATGACATGAACCTGGCCCAAAAGCAGTTCAGCAAGGACACAGCCAGCTGACCAAATATCAATTGAAGTAGTGTACTCAGTGGCACCAAATATCAGTTCTGGAGCCCGATAGAAACGTGAACATATATATGATATATTAGCTTCACCTTTGACCTGATTACATAAATATCCCAGTTAAACAAAGAAACACCCACTTGGAAAAACTCAGGGAAAAATATGATCCTGGGTATTTTGAAAGGAGTCGCAAGCTCATGACAACATAAGCTAAATGCATATAAATCATGCATAACATAAACCTCCAAAATACCAAAAAATGGATGGATTACCCAAAAGATCAAAACAAAAATATATATCAAAAATAAAACTGGCTGGTTTACCCAAAAGGCCAAAACAAAACTACATAAAAATTACAATGTGACAAGATAAAATGTTGGAAAAATAAAATGTACATAATACATCAAGCTCCACACTATTTGCGGTTAAGCACAGCACTACACTAACATTAGAGATGATCTGAGGACTAAGAGCACAATCAAATGAGGTGGTGTAAGCAGACCTAAACATAGTCCAAAATCATTTGTCGTTGCCATCAGAGCATTTCATCCAACTACAGTATAAAGACATGACTAAATGCAGTGAACAGTCGCATAATAACACATCTTTCCCAGCTCTCAGATTCCATCCAGTAAGGACTTGTAACTTAGATAATATTAATGGAAAATTATGAATTGTCATACAATATTCTCTACCCTCCAAAAGACACAACATAAATCAGAGTAAAACTGTAAACCAAAAAGGAGAACTTTATTCATCATATCAGAGATCATGCAGACAAAAATTTACAGTTTATGTCCATTAACTGAAAATGCATCAAATGAACAGCATTACAATACACTACATAAAAATTAAACCATCGTCATCCAAACTGTCAAGACTCAAGACTCAAAAGGAATGACAATTGATAATACTTGGTTGATATTCTAAGATAATTAAAGGAGTACCTATGCTGACTTATTAAATATAATGATAATGATGCACAGAAAAAGAAGGAAAAATATATAGTTAGTGTATTAATATAGAATAACGTCAACATACCAGCACTTTTGCACTTCCAAAGTCACATATCTTAACCTGGTGTGTAAGAGGGTCAACCTGGAGAACACACAAAATGGCATCAGAGCAGGAAATAGTTCCTACTTTTTAGAAAGAATTCCTACTAATAATGACCATTCAGTAAGCATATATAAGCAAACCAGTATATTTTGAGGCTTCAAATCTCTGTGGGAAACTCCAGGGACAGTGTGGATATAAGCCAGCCCCCTGAAAATCTGTATGTGCACCACAGACCTGTATCAGGAAGTGAAAAGAAACAACAGAACCTTTTCAAATCACCAGAAAGTCTGAGGCATACCTGGTACATATAAAGTTTTACATAAATAAGTGGCACTCTTTGATTAGCATTACTGTAGAACTTCAAGACTCGATACAAAGACTCTGGAACATATTCCATCACCAAATTAAGAAAAAGTTCATCTGTACTTGTGGTGGAAAAGAAACAATGCTTCAGAGAGATCACATTTGGATGATCCATCATGCGCATTAGATGCAGCTCACGATTCTTATATCTTCTGTCCTGTAAAACCTTCTTAATGGCCACTGCCTCCCCAGTTTCCAAGCATTTTGCCTAAGAGGAAAAATTATCAGCACGTGGCAAAATATATGGAGATGGTAACAGCTATTAATCTAGTATGGGCATACCTGGAAAACAATTCCAAATGACCCAGTCCCCACAACACATTCTGCCATGTAACTTATAGTCTACGATAATCATCATAACAAAGATATTAAAGTTTCAATCCAAGGTTCAACCTGGTCAGTGAAATCATCTGAATCCATAACAACTCAAAATCGTAAAAAAAAAAAAAAAAACTTCATAACTGTTGAAATATAGGGAAAATGGGTTTTACAAAGCCAATACCTGTTTGGGCTCCCCATTTTTTCCTCCAATTGTAGTGGATATGATGTGACCAGTGAGGGAATCATTCCCATTGACAACAGAAGCAGACATCTCCTGTCAAATTGTCACAATTATGAACCAGGTATAAGGAATACTGGAATTTCAAATGTTTTTGCAAGGCAGTTGAAAATGATTTGGTGTCACAATCACAGGGAAGGTAAAGTTGGAAAAATTTAGTTAACAAATTTGCAGACATATCAAATATAGTAACACATTTAGTAAAGAAGGACCAACAGGATACACACTGCTAACCAAATCACGTTTAAAGAAAAAAGAAATGGTAGGTACTAGGTAGACAGCATAAGGATGACATTGGCTGGCCTAGAGAAGCTGGTAAAAAGGTTGAAGACAAGAACTATAGCTGCACTGCGTTAAGCTCATAGCACAAAAGTCAACTGCAATTGTTGAAAGTAAGAACTCAAGGGAACACAACTTACTAAATCACTAAAACATCAAAACAACATCAGCCAGCATCACAGTAAAACAAAATTGAATATTAATAAATTAATCAGCAACCAATGTAACAGGCTACATAGAAATTAATCATGATTTAGAAGATAACAAGAAGCAAAAGATCATAAAAAATAAACTCCAAATCATAAAAGCCTTTCCGATTACACAAAACCTAGTTCAGAACTTATGGAAAAAGAAAAAACCACAGATCAACACGAAACTGAGCTGAAGGTGTCTTATTTTCTAAGCTCAAAAACCAAAATCTTCAACTAAGGAATCGAATTATCCCCAACGACAAACCCCTAAAGGTCCCTTAGCCACTTGAGGAAGGGGGGAAAAAAGGGTTGGGGAAACAAAAATTCAACACCCCATATAACTCTCACTAGCTTTATCCTCTCAAATAACCAAAATTACAAGCCTTTGTACTCTCCCTTATCTGAACTTTGTTTCTTTTCTTCCTGTGTCACTCGACTTTCTCAGCACCGAAACAACTAAGCAATTCAATGAACTTCCTAAAAGGGGGGGAATAAAAATCCTGAGAAAGTACCTTATGGTTATGGTCATCCATGGGGGAAGGGAGAGAGAAATGGAGTGTTAATGTGTGGGATGATGGAATGGTGAAGAAGATGGAGATGATGATGATGATGTAGATGTTGATTGGGATTTTGATTGTGATGGCATAGAGGAGGAGACAGCAAGATTCAAAGACAAGTCCATGTGATTCCAGCTCTCTGTCTCTTCATCCCAATTATTATGTGTGTTTCAATCTTCATTCAAGTGGAAATGAGTTAAATAAAAAATGAGGATAACATTTAATTTTTATTCATTTAAATATAGTTGTTTTCTAATTTTTAATTTTTTTTGGTTACTTTGGAAGTGCAAATAGGTTACAGTTCAGTTAAGTGACTCGGTCACAGCTAGTCTTACAAGAAAAATATGAAAATTTTAGTATGTAAAATAATTTACTTTCCTTTTCTTCCTATTATCTAGTTTTTATATTTTATAAAGGTTTTTTTTTTTATTATTACATGACAAATTTTTAAACTTTGATAATATAAAACAAAATCACAGGATAATAACATATACTTGTGCACATCTTGAACTAATTTAGGAATGTTTGGTCATGAAGAGAAATATTAAAAAAGAGTTAGAACACATTCACGGGCAAAGAGAAATTTAATTTATGTTTTGAGACAACAAAAGAGAAACACTAGTGAGATGACTTGGCTTCAACCGGTAAGTTAAACCAGTGAGCTTGAAACCCAGGTTTGACACTTGGAAACGTTGAACCAAACATGCAAACTGTCATTATGGTCATGGTAGCATAGTTACATGACTTGGCTTCAACCGTTCAGTTAAACCACTGAGCTTGTCCCTTGACCAGCACAAGCCTGTGATTAAATAGGTTAGGAATGATTACATTGATTATTGACAATCCTTAGTTTTTATAAATAATAAATCAGAAAGATCAGTATAATTTTCTAAATAAAAGAATATTGAATAAACGAAAACCTCGTACGAGCTTAAGTATAATGAGCCTAATCTTACCTAATTATACAACTGGTTTAATTTGGCCTAATTTTTGCATCGGCTAACTTACCAATTTGATATCAATTGGATTCCTCAAGAAAACATACATTTGAAAAATAGGGGCAGGTTATATTTACAAATTTTTTTGTTTATAAATTATACTATGTTCTTTCAGGAAAACACTGGTTTCACTATGTTCTCCCGGGAGAACATAGTGTAATTTGTAAAAAGAATTTAAAAAAATTTGTAAACGAATCTTTTCCCTTGAAAAATTATCTACTTTTGTTGTGAATTTATTGGTTTCAAATTAAATTATTTTGAATAGTCCAATTTTTTTTTTTTTAAATTATTCACGGTTTATTCGACTAGCTTTATATCCTTTTGGTAGTAGGCATACTTTCCATTTGAAGACTCAGCCCAATAACTTGCATATTCAACTATACAATATAACGATCCAATACTACAAATGTCACAAAAATTTACACCTAGAAACTGCATATTCATTTTATTTTCTTTTTTTGTTAGTAGACCAGGCGAAATCAGATTTTCTATATAGTCATTTCATTTTATTTACCTTACTGCCACCAATTATGATGATGTCAGGATATTGAGAATGAAATGTGCACAACACAAATCTCCCATTTTTGCAATGCATAGAAGATTGTGGGACAGTAAATGACTACAGGGTGTTTGGTTCATGTGAAATTATCTTTTATTAGGGAAATGTAATTACTAAGAATTTATAGGGAAAATGCGTTAGATAGGAAAGTTCTAAAAAGGTTGTTTGGTTGGATAAAATTTTATCAAGAAAATTGAGTAAAATTCCTGAATGTGTGCTTAGTTTGAATATAAAATATTGATGGAAAAACTTACTGAAATTACAAAATTATCCTTTTAAAAATAATCCTTTATACAACCAATTGTCCCACTGTATTGAGGGGTAATATTGTCACTGTTTTGTACCATGTTGACTTATCCGATTTTTAGATGCAATTCCACGTGATTTGTTGGATTCAGGAACATCTCTTTTCTTCCTTTTTTACGTGCAATTATTGATAGCTATGCAACTGATATTCATGGGCAAAAATCATGATATCGTGAACCAAACGTGGAGAAATGATAAAGTCAGAATCACTTCCCTGGGAATATCCACAAAACTCCTGAAACAAACACTCCCTATATGTATAGTTGCATTCCAATAATGTGCCTCATCTTCACTCACAGAGGCAATGAACCGTCCAGATTGTTTCCAACGAAGGGAAGTGATGTCTTATCTAGTCATGTTATATATTATAGCAACATCGACCAAAATGCTATTGTTTGGCAAAATTTTATTCAAATGTCATGTGAAAAATATTTTTTATCAAACTGCCACGCGATGTAATTCGCTACGACTGGTAGCAAATTACGTTCGTCAATAATTTTGTGACACGTGGCATATTTTCGCAGAAAAAAGCTGACTAGACGAAGTTCGTTACTAGTGGTAGCGAATTTGGTATGGAATGTAGCCACGTGTCACGAAATCATAGGTGAACGTAATTCGCTACCAGTCATTACCTCACGTGGCAGGTTAAAAAGTACTGTTGTGCAAAAAAACTGGTTCAGTTGCCCTGCTCTTGATCTGACCTTGATCTAACCCATAAATACCTATTTTTTTTGAACTGATTTAAATATTGAACCATTTATATTTGAGTCAATTTTATACTTGACTTGTTTTAATAATTGACCCATTGATCCAAAACTTAACCTAGACCAATTTTGTGAAAAAAGAAAGAAAACCAAAAAAATCACCGTAAGGCTGGGGCTTAGGTTCTCTCTTCTCTCGATAAGAATGGAAACAAGCTTGATGAGGTGTTGGAATACGAGCCAAGGTAACTTTTGTGTTCTAAATTTTAGTAGTACTATCACAAATATGGTAGAGAGAGAAATTGGATCATGTCATATGAGTGATTGGAGATCAATGTGAAAATATATCTCTGATCCAGTGACTTTGAATCCAGAAGGGGTTACAAATTCACAAGCTTTGATTTTGATACAACATGTGAAAGGATAATAGTTTTTCTGTCTACTTGAAGATTTTATGTGCTATAAGCCTCCAAGATTCCATGGGGTAGTCAAGAAATGGGATAGATTGTAGACACTAGTGTTGATTAAATAAGAGTTAGTCATACTACAGAAATTGTTCGTAAATATCTGTTAATTTTAATTTCTTAGATTGAGTAAATGGAATCCTTACGCTGATATTTTATGGGATAATTTTATGTTTGGATTTTTTTTTAATTTATCATCAATTTGGAGCTTTTTAGTGATCCAATAAAATCATGATAATTGCTAATAGAAAATATCAATTATGAGTTATAATGAGCTTCCCATGACACTGATTAGTACCATGGAATAGTAATATTAGCACTTTTTTTTGAAGAATTGGTATTTATTCAACAAATATCAAATTTATTATATAATTTATATATTTTAAAACAAATAAATAATTAAATTACTTGAGTTTAAAAATTAAATCAATAACTATAACAAAATCAAATAAAAAACAAGTTTTGAAACCAAGTCAAAAATGGGTCAGGTCAGATTTGACCCAATTTTGAAACCTAGTCAGGTCAGATTTTATCCAGTTTTGAATCAGTTCAAAAAAAAATTAAATCGGGTTGGGTCAAAATACTTGACCTATAAACCAAGTTGGATCGAGTCGGCACAAAAACCTGACCCGACCTGACCCATGCATAGCCTTAACCGTATGTGTTGCTTATCCTAACGGATGTGTTGTTTCATCCTTGAATGAGTGTCTTTTCAGTCGTGACCCTATATTTTCTATAAATAGGTAAACAATTGGATTTTTAAGTAGAGTTTTTTCTTTGCATTTGCATTTTTTTAGTGCTATTGTTTATGCATAGGTTGATTTTGATGAAGCTATTCAATGTGGAAATGCCGCCACAAGAATAAAGGTAATATGTTCTATCCTAGGAATATTTGTCCACGAATCTTGGGCACCATAAAGAGGGCAATATTGTCTTAAAGACACAGTGTCTAACTCTGATTTTGAATTTTTCCTTGTTGTATTCATATATTTTCATACGATACACTTTAACTATGTGTACCGTTTGTTGTATATATTTCATGGAACTGTGAATAAGTGATTGCTCTAACACAAATTATCTCATCTCAATAATTTTAACAAGTACCACTTTTTCACCAAGTACCACATTTTCCTTCTAAGATATATCCCTTATATAGGACTCTAAACATAACTAGGAAAATAATTATTTTACAACATTCTCCTTTGATGTATTCAATTCAACACACTATTAGTGTGATGGTTATAAAATACATCAAAAGTCATCAAAAATAAAGAGTCACATGTTATGAACCATGTGAAAGGTCATCCATAATCCATGTGAAAAGTCATCAATAATATTTTACAATACTCCCTGTAACATCCCGAGCGCTGACGAGGACAGGGAGTGATCGCCGGTGCAAAGAGGTACGGACAAGGAGCGGCTCCTGATAGGCTTCCAGCGAGGGGTTACATGCATGAATGAATCGAATTGACACCCGAAAGAGAGGGATTCCAAAGACTGTGCAAGTATGAGACTGCACAGTTTGGGATAGCTTATAAGAATTAATTGGTACTACCTATGCTAACAAGATGCATCTTCTTTTCGGTATCCCGAAATGGAAAAACTCCATAGTTAAGCATGCTTGACTTGGAGCAATTCTGGGATGGGTGACCTCCCAGGAAGTGTGCGAGTGAGGAAAAAGCACACTGAAAAATCTTGTGTTAGTATGTGGGGATAGTCGTTGATTCTTGAAGCGGCCAGGCGCTACAAGTGGTATCAGAGCAAGGCCTCTCTTCCAGTACGGTGTGGTTCAAGGACGAACCAGGCGGAAGGAAGCTAGTGGGCATGTAACATCCTGAGCGCTGACGAGGGCGGGGAGTGATCGCCGGTGCAAAGAAGCACGGATAAGGAGATAAGGAGCGGCTCTTGACAAGCTTCCAGCGAGGGGTTACATGCATGAATGAATCGAATCGACACCCGAAAAAGAGGGATTCCAAAGACTGTGCAAGTATGAGACTGCACAGTTTGGGATAGCTTATAAGAATTAATTGGTACTACCTATACTAACAAGATGCATCTTCTTTTCGGTAGCCCGGAATGGAAGAACTCCATAGTTAAACGTGCTTGACTTGGAGCAATTCTGGGATGGGTGACCTCCGGGAA